GGAGGAGGAGGAGGAGGAGGAGGAGGAGGAGGAGGAGGAGGAGGAGGAATTCCTTTTCTTTTTTTCTTAAAAATTAATAAAAAGTCCAAGCCTTTGCCTTTTTTTGCTGACTATACAAAACTATTTATCCTAATAAAAAAAAATAATGTAAATCTTTCCATGAAGCACCTATAGTAGCCAAAAGGAAAAAATACACTGTAACTAAATAAAGCCTCTCTTTAACCCTATAGAAGTAACAAAAACAAAAAAAAAGGTGATTTTGGAAATGAGAAGGTCAGTGCAAGTGTCCTTTTTTTTTTTTAGCTTCTTTGCAGCTTGGAACTTGCTGGTAATCCCACCTCCCAGCTGATCACTCATCAGTCAATCCCGAAAGTCTCTGTTTCGAGGTCTTCTGGCTGTGAAAGGCTGCCCAGAGGTTGTATGGGATGATTTCTAGGATTCTCCTTGGATCCGGAGAATTCTTCAGGCTCCAGGAGCCTACCTGAGCCTAAACAAATCTGTCCGCTTGATAAGGAGAGACTAGCATGCCGCCATTACTTACCGGAAGTCCAGTAATTTCATCTATCAGTCATACTTTGATCTTCTCCTCATCTTTGGCACATCATTGTTCTAGTCCACCCTAGCATGCTATTGTATTTCCCCTCAAACTGTATTCAGATGAACTGTATGTACTTACCCTGAGTATTCATCATATAGTTCATTAAGTTCAATATCCATCATGATTATAAAAAAGGTTCTTGGTGGGCAAGCCAGCAAAGAGGTTGTATTCTGTTTCTCCGTGATTCAGCTAGCCCTTGGTTTCTGTATGGCCAAATTATTTTTCCAACACTGCCTAGGGTGCATGGATATAAACTTTCTAAAGAATACATGTGCTTTCTTAACATATAGTCAGGTTAGGCTGAACCTAGGACAAAATGTTTAGGTGCATCTGTGTCCACTTCTAAGCAAACTAATTTGATATTACAGCAGGACCTTGGGGAAACAGCTGGAACCCCACTCAACACTGTTCATAAGAGGGGGGAATACCCAACAATCCTAGCTGCTTACATTAGATGTAGTGCATCTATGCTTAAGGAAAGGGCCCTTCATAAGACTATTAGATGTAGAATCTAAAATTGTCTAATCATTTTATTATTCCTTTAAGAAGAAAATGAGATAAAGAGGACAGATAAAATACACACAGAAAATACAAATCTGGGAGGCGAGAATAATTAGGGTTGGTGAATATCACTGTCTTGTACTACATGCCTGCCTGCCTAGCTGATGACAAGAGTATATATCATGAACACTTTGCAAGAACACCACATTCCCACAATGACAAGTTCACTGAAATTCATGTCTCAGTTGAAAGAAAATGATTTTTTTCATCCCACTGAATAAGAACTATCAGGACAAAAAAAAAGAGCAGAATTTTTCTGCATCCTAGAGTAAGTTTATTATAAAAGCAATCAATCATTTTATTTTGAAAATTAAAGAGAGTATCTATGCTTTAAGATCACATCTGTTATATGGAAATCGTAAAATTTCCTCTGTAATTTATTTGTTCTTTCCAAGCACTGCATGTATGAGAAATTTATTAATAGCTCTTTAAGCAGATGAAAATATGTGGACTAAATGCTTCATCGAACAGCATTTTTCTATCACAAATACCCAGTGAATAGCACTACATTTGCTGCAGCTGTGAGCAAAATGTTAAGCAATTAACATTAATCACAGCTCTGAAAAAAAGTTACTTCTTTCATATGCACTTAATTCTTAAAGATATGCAGGTTCTAGTTTCAACTGTTTCTGGAAAATATGCTGTATATCACCTTTAAAAAAAAAGATGCAGCTCAAAACATTGTTTGTTTAGTATCCCATATCCATTAACCTTTGTAATCAGTTCAACCACAGATGCAGAGAAAGTGAAAGTTGAACAGTTCTGTGATGACTTGCAATACTTGTTGATATAAAACCTTCCCCTCTCCCCAAAACATCAAATTCAGAAACAACTGGAATGCTATAGTTAGAAGTAAGATAGCATCTGGAATAATGGAAAAATTTGGCCTTAGGGTATAAAATGAAGTAGGAGACAGACTAGTAGGATTCTGCCAAGAAAATTCAATGTTCACAGAAAATATCTCCTTCCAACAAATTTAAAGATGACTGGACACACAGACATCATTGACATTTCTGTGTTGGAGAGACCACAAAGGAATCATATAGATTATATGCTCCACAAGCAAAGATTGAGATGTTCTATGCATTCATCAACAGACTTAATATGGATTAAGGCTCATTGTGCTGGTAAATGACCACAGCAAAGTCTTTCATTTCATTTCACTGAGGCTCAGATCATGAACTTCTTTTTGCCGACTAAAATAGCAAACAAAATAATCAGATACAATTTGAGCCGTATCCACATGATCATCTGGTGAAAATCAAAGATAGATTTCAGGGATTTTATTTGACAAATGTAGTGCCTGAAGAACTGAAATTCACAACCTCATTAACCATGAGGCAAACAAAAATATCCCAAAGTACAAAAAGCAAAAGAAAATGACTGTCTGATGATATGTCAAAACTGAAGAAAGGCAGAAAATAAAAGGTAACAGAAACAAATGTCAAATTCCAGACATTTATACCTGAACAAGCAATGCAAAGAAATGCAAGATACTAATCAAATCAAGGGTGTCCATTTTTATTTTAATTTTTAGTCCTCCCAAAAAACTTTTGTTAAGGGATGGGCTTAAAATATAATAGATAAATAATAAAGAGTGCACAAGCAAGAGAAAATGTGCCTAATTGTAATGGTATGTGGGAATGACCTTGGGAGACAGGAGGAAGAGCCGCAGCCTAGACAATAGGCTGATAAAGGAAATCTGAATCCGGAGAGGGAAGGAGGGAAGAGGGTAGAGAAAGCATCTCAGAAGGGCCCCTTCCTAGTTTTCAGGAGAGTAAAAGTAAGGAAGGGGAAAGGTACTTGCAAGATTCTGTTACTGTAACCTTACAATAAAGGTAGGGTTAGTACTCGTGGTTGGTGCTTCTTGTCTGGACTACCTTGAAGGGCTGGCATCAGTCATGCAAGTCTGAAAGTACTTTTAGGAACTTCAGATCTCTTGGTCAGAAATAGTCCAGATATGTATACTCCATATAAACTGGAAAATTTGAAAAATCCCATCTTTGTAAATTCCACTGTGAATTGCCTTGATCCATACATTCAGGAGCAATGAAAGAAATGGAATCTAGTTTTCATCTGAATCTGCATGGTCTGAAGTACTGTATTCTGATAAAGGACATTCAAAATATATCCATTTAAATATGAAATTTTGTGCACATTTTTCAAAATTTTAGAATAATGCAGAAACAGGATGGAACAGGCATTTGAACAAACCCACATGAAATTAGTAGCATGCAGGAACTCTGACTGATTTGACCTTAGTATTTTTTTGTTTTAATCTTCTAACGTTTGTTCCAGAATCCAGTCTACAAACTTAGCCACATTGGTGTAAACTCCTGGTTGTCCTGGACGAGCACATCCTTCACCCCAGCTGGTAATGCCAACCAAATACCAACTGTTCTGGAATTTACACGACATTGGGCCGCCTGAATCTCCCTACAAAGAAGAAAGAAAAATCTACATAAGCTGAATAAGAGAAGGGTGGTGAACAAGTAACCCAGATGAATCAAAGCCCAAACAAGTCTTTTAAAAAAATCATTATTATCCAAAAGTTTATTTTCCATACTCCTTAGCTAAAAAGGTTTTCACAAATACAAAGATGATCAATATGACAACTTTGCCAGGGGGTTTCTAACTTAAAAAAACATTCAAACAACAAAGAATGAGGTGGGTAGAGAGAAAAAAGCAGTCTTAGACCATTATTCTTGAAGTGCCACTTCTTATCTTAACCAGCTAGTGAACGTTTCAGGTCCTATTGTTGATGGAATGGCACCTAAGGCCTATGTGACAGCTGGGGTATGAACCAAGTGATCTGGCATTTCAGTAGAACCAGTGGAAACTCTGCTTCTCATTGATTGGTATCCTGGGGTTAGTAAATGCCCGAGAAGGCCAGAACCTTGTTCTTAATATAAAGCCTGAGATTCTACATTGAGATGGAAGCCTGAAGAATTAGAAGGGTCCCCCAGTTGTCACAGGTGAGAAAAAAGGTCCTAAGTCCAAAGAGGTAATACTTTTCTTAGACCCACTACAGTTGTACAAATTCACTGCAAGCTTCAGGTTTTTTTTCATGATTAAGAAAAAAAGGGGAGAGGAAAAAATGTGGCTGATTTTAAGCCATTTTTGTACTGGCTTACAGATTTGGATACAGAAATGCAGATTGGGCTTTAACAGATGCTATTAGGTGGCCATGAAGGCTGTTGCTATGAAGAAATAAACAAATGTTTATATAAGTTTATTATCATTATTTATTTTATAACCCACCCTTTGGGGAATGATAAAATCCAGCTGTTAAAGCCAGTCATATTTCCATCCTATCTAGATGCACAGTTCCTTCAACTATCCAAACTTAAGACTATGGTCATTTCCACACTAGTAACATAAAGCATCTGCAAGTGTTGTCCAAGTATCTCTGTGCCGAAACAACAGTAATGTAGACAGGCTTCATAGCACTTTAACAATGGTTGGATGATACAATGAATAGGCCTACACAATCGCTAGTACAGAAATGACCTATGTCTTTTGCACCAGCCACTAGCACATCACTGGGCAACCTGTAGAGCCAGAGCCATATCTCCCACCTCACAAACGCAACCATAGTAACCAGATGGAGAAAAAACAAAACAGTCATAGGCTAACCCCTAACATAATGTCTAATGTTGTTTAAGGAAAGTAAACTTTCAAAATAATTCCACCAAATTCTAGGCAATCTCTATCCACCAAGTTATTTCTCTAATAGTGCATATTAGAGGAAAGGTCATCTTGTGGCCTACTTTCCATCTCCATTCTGCTGCTGTTATGGACATAAAAAGGTTAAGGCTAGAATAGCCAAAGGCTACTCCCTTTGGGACTGTCCATGCTAATTACCTAAAGTATTGTTTCCTGTGGACAGTACTTTGTCTTTTGATATACAGAAGTATAGAGATAATGCAAATTCTTGCCTGCTGTTGCTTGCCTTTATCCTGTTTTTGCCACTTAACTGTTTGTGATGTTTGCTGATGTTTAATAAACAAACTCAAGCTATGCTTTTGTTATCTGTACTGAGTGGTGTGTGTGCTTGTTCTGATCTGGATATAGAGATTGCCTGGAAGTTTGTCAAGTACAAACTCAGCTGGAAATTTCCACAAGGATTCTCCAGCACTGACTCCACTTCCATGCATGCTCTACGCAACTGATTTCCATTGCAATTTTCACCTTCCCAAAACAGTTAGATAGGACCACCAACCCTTAAGCAGGGTCTGGTAGTAGGTCTTTTTGCCTAAGTCACTCTACAAAAGCTAATAGAACACAATTACAGGGCTCAAAAGGAGAAAGAGAAGAAAAGACAGCGGAGGAAGTCCATGACACCAATAGAAGGTTTAAGGAAAAGAAGGACACAAGAGGAATGGGCCCTGTAGGCTTTTGCTAGCAACAAATCCAAAAGGTTATCTGCATGTTATATACTGAGCATTTTGTATAATTTAATATTTATACTGCTCCTTGAAAAGTAAAAATAAAATACGGGGATCTTTTAAAAACCAGCCAACCATAAACTCTTATTTATTCTCAGGGAGATGTGGGAATAATAACATCAGAAGGAAACACCATGCAGCTTCTAATTAAACTCACGTCGTCTGCATTAAACTCAGGATTTCCAGATCCCTTGGAAACTGTAATGGTGCACAAAGGCAGAATGAGATACAAGATGCTGTTAATTTACCTGGCAAGCATCCTTGCCCCCTTCTGGGTAACCGGCGCACAACATCTTGTCAGTTATTCTGTGCTCAGGGTATTGAAACTGACATTCTGCATTTGGCATTATGGGGATTTTGACTTTTTGTAGCGTGTCTTCGATTGTGCCTACAATTATAGAGAAGAGAAACAGAGAGAAGGTTGATGGTGCAGTGAAGGGTCAAGAATAATGCTAGCTTCAGGCATCCCCAACTGTGTGGGGATGCAAACATGACATAAGAATCAATTAAAGACTCCTGGACATCAGGCCAGCCCTGGACTAACCATTAAGCCAAACAGACATGTGCTGAGGCCACCAAGGGGAGGGGTCACCACAGAGTTTTTTCCCCTAGCTATCATGCCCTTAACTCTTTCACTCCCACACTTGACTGTAGTCAATTTTTTTGTAATTGTCCTCATCGGCCATGTTCAACTTTAATCTGCATTGTTAAAAAAATGTTTTCTTTGACTGAAGTTTAAAAGTTTCATTTTATGGTGTCAACAGATATTACCTTTGCTTGCATCTCATAGCATGAGAGTTTCACCTCCGTCGAGGGGCAGCATTGTTGAGATGTGCTTAGGGCATTAGTTGGCTTTAATCTGGCCCTGCATTACCCCCAAATGTGCATGATGTTCTGGTGTGGTGCACCAGTTATCTGACCTGCATTATAAGTGTACAACCTTTGGAAAAATCCACTTGAAGGCACTGAGAACTTTCTGGTATCAGTTAGAAGATTCATAGCACTAGCTAGTCTATGGCCAGTCTTATATTGTTAGGTTCCTTTACCTTGAATTAGCAAGGCTGTGCACATTATAAATGTATTCTGTTGTATGTCTAAATGAAAACAATTTGTTTCCAAATTCAATATAGAAAACAAATCTGATTTTCTCCTATTTTGTTCTCATAAATGGACAGTCACACATGGTGTGAGGGCAGAGATAAATAGACAGAGGATTGTGATACTGAGTTTTGAAAAGGATCAATATGGATTGCTTCCCCTAACAATGGTTGACATCTATTCATGCATTTAGATTGCTGACCTATTGGGCTCTGCTTGGAACATATTTATATAGAAAAGATGCATACAAACTTCCTAAGATATTATTATTAGCAATTCTAATGGGTCAGATCAATACATACCTGACAGTGGATGCATTGAAAAGATTCTTTGCCTCCTTCCTTACATCTTACCTGGACATGTTAAACAGTGTAAATAATATCAGAGCATGTCCGCCAGAAGACTTGGAGGAGGTAGCCCAAATGGTAAACAGATTATCAAAACCTTCTACCAAAATGGGAGCAGATAGATGTCCACATACTGTGCTCTACAATATCAAGCTAAATGAGATGACTAAAGGAAGTTGGTCTTCTAAGAAAGAGGTTCTGAGCAAACTGGGATGGACATAAATCCAACATCTAAGTAAGGTTATGTGGCTATTTAAGGAAGTGGGCAACAAGAGGATTTTATTTTTCAATAGTCTTACAATGTCCCTAATGCTGGTTAAAATGAGAAATGTCTGTCTGCTTCTCCATTTTTTAAAACAATTCCATTGCTTTCTGAGATGAGAAGATCTATTTATTTTCAGTTAAAGGTTCTATAGCATTAGATAGGGAGAAGTATCAGATGATAAGAACAGCCAGAATCAAGAAATAACACAACTAGACCTTGCTAAATAGTACCAGAAATGAATGCTCTGTCCTTGATATAGGTAGTCCTCAACTTATGACTCCAATAGGGACTCAAAAATTCATCATTAAGCAGTATGGTCATTAAGCAATGCATGACATTTTTTGCAGTGGTCATTAAGCAAATCACCATGGTCATTAAGTGAATCACACAGTTCCCCATTGATTTTGCTTGTTGAAAGCCTCCTGGGAAGGTTACAAATGGCAATCATGTGACCCCGGGATGCTGCAACCATCATAAATACATGCCGGTTGCCAAGCACCCAAATTTTGATCATGTGACCATAGGGACACTGCAACAGTTGTAAGTGCATTAAGCAATGCATGACATTTTTTGCAGTGGTCATTAAGCAAATCACCATGGTCATTAAGTGAATCACACAGTTCCCCATTGATTTTGCTTGTTGAAAGCCTCCTGGGAAGGTTACAAATGGCAATCATGTGACCCCGGGATGCTGCAACCATCATAAATACATGCCGGTTGCCAAGCACCCAAATTTTGATCATGTGACCATAGGGACACTGCAACAGTTGTAAGTGCAAGGACCGGTCATAAGTCACTTTTTTCAGCACCATCATAACCTCAAACATTTGCTTAAATGAATGGTTGTAAGTCAGGGACTATCTGTGCTCCTATTTGCAATGGGGAGAATCAGGAAATAATCTGGCTAACTCTTTCAAGCCTTTGCTAAAGAGGAACAACTAGAAATGTTTTGTGGACTGGAAAGACTAAAATGCACTTTCTCTTCTGTTTATAAGACAACAGATTCTTTGATTTTATTTTTTTTTTGCAAGGAATTGCTAGCTACTACTGATCCAGTGCTGATCCTGAAACTGATTAAACCAGGCCTTTAAAATAAAAGAAGTCCCTGAAAATTGATAAGCCATCCTATACAAATGCAATGGAAGACCACTTCTATAATGTTGCCAGCGACACAGATGTGTCACATGGTTCCCAAGAGTTAAACTCAACTTGAGGGCATCTTTACCTTTCCTCCTCCTTGCTAATAAGTACACTAGCATGAAATCTAGAAAACCAATGTACTTTTCAGTTATAGAATTCACCTTATAAATGAAACCCTATCCTATGATTCACATGCAAAAAAAAAAAAAAATTAACCTAACATCACATCAAATTTGCCAAGATAAATATTCAGTGTTTCCTAATGTTATTTTTCAGTACCTCTCTCTTTTGTGTAACCCCATCCGGTCACCCAGCACTCAGTGTATTTTGCCATGTTCATTTCTTCCTGGGAGGGCAGGCATACAGGTTGCTGTAAAACTAAATAACCATTTCAAAGAATCAGATAGTAGAAAGCTGAAAGGCTTTTGCTGAAAAATAAATGGCATCCTTAAGAATATAGGCGCAGCCTTGCTGGGTCAGTCCTAGCTCTGCATTTTGTTTCTCACAATGGCCAACATGATGCCTATAGGATGATTGCGATCCAAAGATGGAGCCACACCCCTTTCCCACCATTGTTACCCTGGAACTGGTATTTGGAGAGAGGCAGTCCCCAACCCAAAGATAACACCAAATGTACAAAACCAGCACCCCTGTTGGACATGTTCTCCGTGATTTTTTTCATTGGATGCAGCTGGTACTTTTAAAGATGGAGAAAAACCCTTCCCAACCTATTTTATCCATGCTGTGCATAATTTTATAATCCTTAATCAGGTTCTGCTTTTTTTCTCCCAACATAGAGTCTGAACATTTCTGTTTGAGCACCTTAATAGTTTTGATTCTCCTTTTGTACATTTTTTCCAGCTTTTTTCAGATTTGTACACAGTATTCCAGATGCAGGCATACCACAGATTTATGTTAGGACATTACAATATTAGCTACTTCATTTTCAGTCCTTTTCCTAATGAACCCTGGATGGAATTTCTCTTTTTCACAGCTGTAAAGTCAACACCTACACTGAGCTATCCACAATGTGGACCCCAAAATCTTTTTTCCTGGTTAGGTATACAGAGCTCAGATTCTAGCAGTGTACTTCTGAAGTTAGCAGATTTTTCCTTAATGGCATCACTTCAAATTAATACAGATTAAAGAAACCTTTTGTAAATCTTCAAAATCACTGTCAGGTTTTATCACCCTGAATACCTTAGGAAGAGCCACAGACTTGGTCTGCTCACTGCTTATCCCCAAGTCAAGATCATTTATGAATAAGGTTAAAAACTCCCATCACTACACAAACCCTTGAGGATTCCATTTGTCACTTCCCTCCATGAGAAGATAGCCTATGTGCTTCAGGTTTTTATCCAGTTAGCCATTCATAAAATAATAAGTTCCTCTTATCCTATGACTGCTAAGTTTGTTCAAGAGCTTTTATCGAAGACTTTTTGCAAATCTAAGTCATCTTTGCAGAAACCATGCTGGTTTTTGTTCAGTAAAATTAATTCTGCTATGGGCTTATTTATTTTTAATCTGATTACTGTTTCTACCAATTTGTCCAGATAGATGTTAAACTGACCAGCCTATAATTTACCCTTTGTCCCCAGGCCCTTTTTAAACACTGGTTTCATACTGGTAACCTTCCTATCCACTATCACGGAGCCAATTTGTAAGACAAGTTATATATTTTTGCAAGTAGGTAAGCAATTCATATTTGGGTTCTTTAAAGATCTTGAGTGAATGCCATCAAGGCCCAACAATCTGTTACTGTGTATAATCTCTCAAGATGTTCTAGAATATCTTCTCTTATTTGTTTGTTTTACTTGTTAGGGTTACTTACCTGAGAAAGTCAGCACATTCAGATTCATGTATTTATCCTATATGTCTTGTACTAAAGAGATACAAAGAATTCTTTCAGTTTTTCTGCAATTTCCATTTCCTTCTTGAGTATCTCTTTCACTCCTTTATGATTCAGTAGCCCAACCATTGCCTAGTTTTCTTCTCTGAATATTCTTTTTAAAAGTTTTGATATTTCTTCTAAGGGGGTTTCTCTTTCTTTCCTTCTTTAGCATTCCTTATCATTATCTTATACCTTTTCTGCCAGAGTTTGAGCTTCTTTGAATCTCAATTATTATGGCTTCTCTGAAGAAATGTGACCTTCTTGGCTTTTTCTTTCAGTCTTTTTTTATAGTCCTCTTGCTTTTAAGAACTTTCCACTTTTCTTATTCTTATTTCTTGGATTTTTTTTTCTTCTTGGACTGTATTTCATCTAATATACTCAATTTTCTTTAGCTTTGGAGACAGTCATCTTGATTGGGTTCTTTTATCATAATAAATTATTACATTTGGGTTTAATACAATGATGCCAATGATGGTATATTCAACAAACCATTATTAAACAAACTATGACAGTGCAATGTATGAAATACTAAGATAATATTAGAGGTTTTGTAATAAATGTATACGTACCACTGAAATTCATAGGTGTATCAAGCTTTAGTAAAGCAATGTCATATCCTGCCTCTGAAATCTCATACCTAGGATGAATAATCATCTTTTGGACTTTGAAGAAGGTAGTTTCATTAGTTATTTCAGACTGTTTCAAAATGTTGCTGTAAACATGCCAATGTTCAGTTAACGGAATGCTAAAGGAAAAAACAAGGAAGACTAAGAAAAAATAGGTAGAAGTAAGGCTGTTTTTCATAGTTTAAACCATTTTCTTAAATGCAAACTAAACATATTCCTAAGTATTCCTAAGTATTTTCTTTTGAACTTTTACTTATTCAATTATTTTCCTTTCTATTCTTATAGCAACTATTTCTGACAGTTTGTGAATTAATCATCTACTCCATTACATATCAGAATTATTTCTTATACCATCATGAGAACATTAAAAACAGAACAGCTTTACTATAACTATTTTATCTATTTTTTTTTAATTTCCTAGTGCCCTCCAGATGTGTTGGACTGCAGTTCCCATACTGTGAATCAATGGGGCTATGAGAGTCTTCCAATTATTTTGAACTTCATTTTAGATAATGTCCGGTCAGCCAAGCTAATGGCAGGAGGGCTATGATCTAAAACATGTGAACATTGCAACATTTCATGATATAGGCACCACAGAATTACTTCATATAATTGCTTAAATCAATAGAAGGTAGTTCTATATGTCAGTTCTAGACTAGTCTTCAAGGGTTTGACCAGCAGTCCTAGAAGTTCATGTATAGTCATGTCCTTAATCAGAACATGTTAATCAGTAGTAACAAAAGCTATTATTATTTTCATGATTTCTGTTTCTGATGTGAACATATTTTACTCACTCTTCTAAGCAATGGGCAGCCGTCAAAATCCATTGGTCACTGATGATTGAACCACCACAATGATGGCTCTGAATAGAGAGCTTTGTATGTAAACTGACTTGCCAAGGCCATTCGCCAACAGAAGAATTTGAGCCTCCAACAATCCTTGACTGTTGCTTTGGTTTCTGCACACAGACTAAAACAACATTTAATCACTAGTCATGTTTCATTCAATGTTTTTAATATGAAATTATAGGAGTTCAAATCTAACACAACTGGATGGTACACAAAAGGGAAAGCTGATCTGGGATTTCATTAACATCAATGCTAAAAGTTACACTGACCACCCAAAGGTAGTACATTAGTTTCTGTCTTATTAGAAGGTATCAGACATTCATAGCCAGTTCTTATTCTATGGGCTTCAAAGCCTCTACCAGGAAATCAATGCATGGAACTCATTTAGATGACTATATAGAATACATTAGCTTTAGTTGCTATACAAGTTCTAGTGGTCAACAGTACTGCAGCAGGAAGGAATATATAGAATCTATCAGAATGGTATAAGCAGTCCACTTTTCCTCAAGTTCACATACAGATATATATACAGATGTTATGTTATGTCATGCCTCAGTGTATAAGGTTTTGCATAATGTAACCTCTCTCTTCCTCACTCTCAGTTTAAGGGAAGGTGGACTTTATAAACCATTCTGATAGGTGGACACTAAAAGAATATCACTAATAGTCTAAATCAGAGAATCATCTTTACACTTGAGATTGATTAGGAGCCTGAGCCCTCAAAAGTCTCAACCTAAATGAAGTCCAATAGAGGTTTCTCCATGTGAAGTGTATTAAGAAGAGTTAGCACCTACCAGCAAACAGCAGTTGATGCGCCAATCAGTAGGCTTGACCTACCATAGAACTATTTGCTCAGAACTATTTGCAGAATGCTATGTTAAAAAGTTCAGGGACAGGAATAACAATTTTGAACAGCTATATTCTAGCTTATAAAACAGTGGAATTAACAAAGACAGACAAGATATCAAGAAATCTAAATCAAGCTGGTATATTTAAGATTCAATGTATTTTTCTTCTTTTCCTGAAATGGTGTATAAATGAAAAGAATCCAAATCCAGCAGCCACTAATGTGCAGCAGAAAAGGAGATCTTTGACATAGGTTGTCAGCACCAAATCATTGCCATTGAGGGCATCTGGCATGGGTTTTCTCATGAGACGCAGAGACCTGAGCTCAATAATACATGCTTTGCTTGCAGAAGACCCCCATGGTTCATTCCTTCTCATTTTCAGCTCAAGCCTGAACAGAACACAGGTCTTGGGAAAAACTGGAGATTTACTGTCAGCTAAAGTAAACAAATGCCTTCACATACATTCATATAAACAGGCAACACAGATTTATTTATTTATTGGACTTATCCCCGCCCATCTCCCTGCAATGGGGGACTGTGGGCGGTTTACATCAAATTAAAACAATAAATACATAATTACAATTTATAAAAAGAAAAACACATTTACACAAATGGAAGGAAGAGAAAAAATCCAAGAGGCC